CAAATCAGCATTAAAGAGCTGATAGTTAGTGAGGCACGTGTCCCACAATGACCATTTGGAAAAACGTGGTTAGTAGTGCCTAGTGCACAATTTCTTAGTATTTAAGGATTATGATGATGACTATGGATAATGACGTGCTTTGAGGAGACGTGTTGCAGAAAGTGCCATGATGATTTTGACGTCATAAACCTTTGGAATAGTAAAAGACATGCAAAAGTCGTTTGAGGCGTCGAACAATACTATCAAAAAATGTCTTGTTCTTCATTGATGTCAAAAATGATATTTTTGGGGGGCAATTTGTTGGCTCCTAATTTCGACATCTGAATAACGTTAAAAGTAACAAATAGAGTTTTCTGAAGAAATCTAATTACTTCGACCAAAACTATGTTTTTGAAATGAGAGTCGAAGGCTTCCTTTCGCCAAGAGGGTCTATGTTATGGACTTAGAGATATTCCTCAGCAATTGGAAGACCCAATTCGACAGAAGCATTGCTAGGGGGCATTTCGACGAGTTCGGTTGAATTCAAATAAAAGAGGGAAAATCCATTTTTAAGAAAGACATGTGGAGCGCCCCTATGGTTCGAAGACATGCGCAGCGACACTTGTCTTGATTTCGTTTGTTAGCCGTTAATGACAGTTATGTTCGATGGTCATAAATAGTAGGTATTAGTGTTCAGATGCGTGTGTTCAATTGTGTACAAAATCTTCATTCACTCTAAGTATTCGTGTGATTGAGAGAAACGAGTTGTAAGAATGTACATTGACTAAACATCAGTTTTTATTTCAATGCAATTTGACAAATCTTTTTATTTAAGAATTCATCTTTTCTTTATGTAAGTTCTTATCCTTGTTATTTATCCGTGTTTTAATTCCTCTTACTGTCACTTAAATTTATTTACACTTGAAATAAGTTGCCTTACCATGGAATTAGTCGAAGTGTTCATAGTTTTTATACACTTCATTTAAAAGATCAATTAACACATGTCCTAGGATTTGTGTGGTCAAACCAGTGGTTGTTAACCAATTTTCACGGCGAACACACACACACAGATATATATATATATATATATATATATATATATATATATATATATATATATATATATATATATATATATATATATATATATATATATATATATATATATATATATATATATATATATATATATATATATGAGGATCCACTTACTAACTTACTCCACAATCATAGCCTTTAAATTAAATTTAATCGAATAAGTAAAAAAGTTAATTTAATCAGTAGATTAGATTCAATTTAAAGACTATGATGTAGAATAAATTAAAAATATTTACTATTATATATATATATATATATATATATATATATATATATATATATATATATATATATATATATATATATATATATATATATATATATATATATATATATATATAAAATAGAAACTAATAGTGTGTGTCATGGAAAGAACTTCTACACTGAACATGTTCATTTGCAATGTTACTTGAGTGATTTCCAACATCACCTTTTTACTTTAATACACACTCATTGAAAGATTGAAAAAGGGATATATGGTGTATTTAAAAAAAATTACATGGGATTTATATGTAGGTTCAGTGAGATCTGTGTAGTTAGAAGATGTTTTTGAACATGAAGAAAGATTGTGGATCAGTTAAGAAAAAAGCTACGTGTGTTTTTCATTTTTCTCTTTTTAGTTACTCTTTCTTTTAGCATTTGAGAGAGGTCTAGAATTTGATTGGGGCGCCGAAGGTTGGGATTCGGTTCCTCCCTTCTTTCATTTGCCCAACAAACTATATATATTACCTCATTGATTAGGGTTACTTATTTTTAGTAATTGCCCATCATGCCCTCAATGAGTATTGTAGAGTAAAACAGACGTTTAAAAAGTTAAATAAAATAAAATAATGCTATTCTAAATAATCAAAATTAATTCGAAATAAAAATATAAAAAAAGTTATGATACGGAACTATTTGGACAATGTCCAATACAAAAAGAAGCGGAGTCCAATGAGAATGAGGAGACTAATATGGAAGAGGCAATTGAAGAGAAACGTGTCACTAAACCACCTTATTGGATGAAACATTACGTGAGCTATTGACATCAATAGCAACTTCTATTTTCTGTTATAATGATGTTTTTGTTAATTCCATTCCGTATTTTTCGCAAGTGGTTAGACCATCCTTACTTTATATATGTGTAATTTGGCCTTGGAAGGGCATGCTAATAGTAAAGAAAATTCCCTTTTCCTCCTTCATAATCTCTCTCCTCTTATTCTGTTTTTGGAGTTTACACTCACTCGAAGAGAGTGCCTTCCTTATATCCATACAATCTCTACTGTGCAGGTTGTATCATTGAGCATCATTATAACAGAAAATAGAAGTTGCTATTGATGTCAATAGCTCACGTAATCTTTCATCCAATAAGGTGGTTTAGTGACACGTTTCTCTTCAATTGGCTCTTCCATATTAGTCTCCTCATTCTCATTGGGCTCCACTTCTTTTTGTGTTGGGCCTTGTCCAAATGTGTCCGTATCAAATTATTTAATTATAACGAATATTTTGACAAAGAAATAAAAATAAAAATACTCAAAATGAATAAAATTTAGGTGCAAAAGTGTTCGAAAAATTAAACTGAACACGCCAAAATGATTAGTGTGAAATAAACTTCTTGAAAAAGTACATGATTTAATTTCATTTTGAAATAAATTTAGATCGTTTAAAAGGTTTAGACCGATCAAAATGCGACCGAAACAGTAGTCGAAAATTAAAACGAGCACGCCAAGTTAAACTACGCAAAATGTAGATTAATATAATTGACGTCTGCAAGCTCGATTTCGTAATTTTTCGTCCACTGATTATACGCACACTTGAGATTCAGTTTGATCAATCTGTTTGTAAATTCAAAAAATTATTCTAACTGACAATTTTGGACATTATGCGAGATGAAATGTATGTTATAATATACAAATGATGCCTATCTCATGATAAATACATCATTTTGGCGATTCAGGGTCAAAATTGAGATATGACAATAATTCTCTATATAGTTTCTAAAAAATTATACATATATAAAAAAAATCTAGCAAGTACAATAATAAAAAATCTTTTTTTCTTCCCCTTAGAGCAACTTTAGTGCATGATTGTTAATCCAAAATTTTGTATAGCTTACGTTAGTAATAAAGAATTTGCATTATAATAGGGTTGACATGGCATTTAGTCAACTAAAGTTTAGTTTCCATTATCTATATAGTTAACGTTAACTATTCAATGTGAAACATATTATAATATTATTTAATATTAATAAAATATTCCAACATCATTAAATTAATGGTAACTTGAATAAAAAATATAAAATGTGGGGTCAAGTTTTGGTTTCTTATAGACAACCATCGTTAAAAGTAAAAACTACTCAAATCAATTATAAATTTTTTAAATCCTACAAAACATTTTGGGCCCACAAAAAATATCTTAGTTTATCCATTTAGTTTACTCCCATTAAAGATGCTCTTAGTAATTAAATCTTACTTTAAAAATAAAATATTTTTTCTTTATTAAATTAAAACACTTTCTAACAATAATAATTTAATTCTTCATAAATAAATAAGTATCAAGCAAATAATAAACATATAAGCAAACATCTTTAGAAAAATCTAATTACTCTATAATTAGAGAATGATCCTATTGAGTACAATAGAGGTGAGGGATGCTTAGTACCTTCCCCTTCCTTAATCGACTCCCAAATCCTAGCGTCTCACCCTTAACTTTAAGTTTTATCATTATTTTTCTATTCCTTAAGAACGAATAAATGATGATGGTGACTCTGTAATTTTCCAGCCACAACACCTAGTTCGGTTCGTGGTCAGCCTGTATAAAACCTTAGTTCAGTTAGTGGTCAGCATGTGTAAAACTCTGTTCAGTTTGAAGGATAACCAACACAAACCTCTGTCTTAGTTTGAAACCAGTATGTGAAAAATCTATGTTTGGTTTGGAGACTAACCGCTCTTAGCCTTTTTTGTTGTTTGGTTAGAAGTTAGCATGCAAACTTCATTTTCTTCTATAACAGGGCTTGTGGGCACAAGCTTCTAAAATCTCTCAAGTTTAGTGGATACTCTCAAGAATAATTTTTTGGGACGAAATTAAAATTTATTGGTCGAACCTGTATAATTCTCTGGTGTTATTTCTCTTCCTTTATCTCTTTTAATTTTTAGTAATTTTTTCTTTAGTTTTCGACTACATATTTATTCAAAATCTTTTCAAACTTTGTTTTTACAAATGGTTTTGTTTTAAACCAAAGTTTTTCAAACCTCAATAATTCATCATCTTTTTGTGTATGAAATCACATGTTCAATAAAAAATTTTTTTCTAAAATTCAACATGTTTTGACGAGTGTCTTTTATGGTAAAAAAATTAAAAACATAAAAATAAAGTTTGATATGAGCCAAAGATAAAAAGTAATTTTTGAGTGTTTGCAAGCAATATATACACATATATTATGAGTAGAATATTGTACTCTTAGCTATCTCATATTTTTTATTGACGAAGTTTGTTATATTTATCTTAAGGCGTATTTAGATACTTTTGGAGAATACATAATTCATTGAAAATAGCTTCCATACTTTAAATATCGGCATGACTGAGTTAAGGATGTCGTTTTTAATATATTTCGGCAGATAGAGTATCTGTCAAAAAAAATAGACGCTGGTGAACTTTTTAATCAATCCAACGGAGAGAAGATTGATATTTAAGTAAGAGAAAAATATGCATCTGTGAGAGAGATAACCCGAAAGCCGTTTCAAAAAAATAAAGCTTTCTCTCATTAAATAAAAGCACTTATTTAACCAATATTTTGTCCCTAAATATAAATCAATTTTCAAACAGTGTTCTTAGAAATTTGTAATTTGTTTATATCTTTAATATAAAACTAAAAGTTGTTATAAATCAAACATATACTATAGGGGGTAGTAGGTAACAAGAATAACCATGTGCATTTGACTAAAATGGCAAAGGTGGATCTGTCTAGGATATCTCTGAGGCCATTCAAGCTAACAGACGTTGACGATTTCTTCTTATGGGCAGGTGACGACGAAGTAACCAAACACATCCGATGGAAGACATGCTTATCAAGGGAAGAAGCTCTAGCTTTCATCAAAGATGTCTGCATACCTCACCCATGGCGTCGTTCTATCTGTCTCGACGATCATTCCATCGGTTTTGTTTCCGTATATCGTTGGTCGGGTGATGATAGGTACAAAGCTGACATAGGTTATGCTGTTGCTGCTAACTATTGGGGACATGGAATAGCCACAAAAGCAATCAAAATTGCACTGTCTCGTGTGTTTAATGATTTTTCTGATTTGTTAAGGTTGCAGGCTTTTGCTGATGTTGATAATAAGGCTTCTCAGAGAGTTTTGGAAAAAGCTGGGTTTCTTAGAGAAGGTGTTCTTAGACAATATACTATTATCAAAGGCACTGTTAAGGATTTAGCAGTGTTTAGTTTCTTGTCCGCAGATGAAATTCCTCACGTTGACTAGTTAGGTATCTGTTGTAATTTGGTTCAAAATAATGTAAGATATATTTATGCTATTGTATCATATTACTTTCTATTATATTTTGTAGATATTGAATGAATGATATGCTTAATATGGCTTATTGTATTAAAAAGGAGATTGTTTAAACTACTATTACAATATATTGAAATCAAGTGTATATTTACAACTTGGTTCTTATAACTGAAAAATAGAAACTTATAACAAACAATTAGAAAGTTGTGATATTAAAAGTTTTATTACAAAGTTATAACAATTAACTAACCAACTAATTACCTCTATTCTCTTTGATAAAAATAGCAGTTGACTGATAAGTTAACTTATAAATTATGGCGGAAGTACTATAGATTTTTTGGGTGCTAACACCTTTTCTTAGTGTAACCAACCCCCTTATTCATTCTACGTTTGTTCTTGTGTTAGAACTCTTTAGGTTTTATTTGCTCTTTTTCCTTTCCTTTTGGACAAATAAAAGTGAGGTGACGAATCTTGCATTTTGAATTAAGTTAATCAATAGCTTACACTGACAAATTTTCCCACTACAATGTGATTTCCAAATAAGCGTTTTTTCCTCTTGAAGAGGAGGCTCAGGAACATATTACTAGTTCCCAGTGAGAGTGGGCATGACGATGGATGTAGCCACATGAATCTCTGGTTTTGAAGTTGATTTGGGAGCCATTTGTGTGAGTGGAAGTTGAGTTTCGCAGGAAGAAAATTTTGAAGTCTTCGTGAAAAATGGAGAAAATTGGAAGAAAGTATCAAAAGAAAAGAAGGAGGATATTTATAGTTTCAGGAAAGAGAAACAATTTTGTTTTATTTTTCTTTAAAAAGAAAATAAAAATGTACTTTTTGACAAGTGTCCAACTTAAAAGTGATGAAGCGGGAGTTGGATCTTCAGCATATACCATATTTTCCTAGGAACTCTGAGCCATGATGGCTAGTCTGAACCTACACGTCTCAAACATATGTTATAAGGAGTAGCCATGATGATGGCAACATCAGTGCAGAACTTTAAATAGTATTGGAACTTTAAAAAATCCATCCGTCTCTTAAAAAATAAATCGAATGTTGCATTTTATGGGGGAAATTTGCTAGCCAAGAAATTCCAAAAGAGAAAATTCGACGGAGAAGCCATCTGGAATTTCTCCAAACATAAGGTAAGGTCGAAGTGCCTTTCGACCAAAGACTTGCCAAAGAAACAACAGTATTTCGACGTCAAGGAGTCCGTTTTGGGACTTAGTGAAATTTCAAGAAGTTAGTCATTCATCAAGTTCGATAGGTTGAAGGGGTTCGCTTGGAGGAGGATTAAAATTTCAAAATGAAGTAACTAGTTTTTGGCCTTATCCAAATTGCCAAGGACGTGTGAAGATTAATCTAAGGCCACTCACGCATGGAAAGATGACGGGTCGGACGAAAAATCATTTCAACATTTAGAAACCGTTAGTTCATAGCATTATAAATAAGAGTTCTAGTAGTAGAATAAGGGGTGGCAAAAACATTACAAATTTTGATATACACTCAAAGTACTCGTACATAAGAGAGAAACAAGTTTTCCTGAAGAAAATGTACTTGCCTCCCACATTTATATTTATACAAATATATTCCTTTTCTATTTAGAGTTATTCTTTACTTGTTTTCTTTACCATTAAAAAGACTAATTTTGACTGTGTCAAAATCAGTTGGTCAGTTTAGTCTTACAATAGAATTATTTTAATAAGATATCTAACATTCACTGCCACAATCCGACAATATTGAATGCATACTTTTTTGTTCTCAGTAAATTAGCAAAAACTTGCTCTAGGATTTACTAGTTTGGTCCTTTAAGTAATTAACCTAAAACTATGTGATTGTTTACCAAAACAACCGGTGAAAACCAGCTCACTTGAGGTGAGAAACCCTGTTTGTGGTCGATACTACTTGCTTGCAGGCGGACGATTAGATTAGTCGTGTGTGTTAAGACAATAACAAACATGGTGATCTTTGATTTGTGAATATTGTGTTTGACTTATGCCCCTTTGAGAGGAGATATATTTATAGAGGCACTATGAGTCTAGGGTTTTTATGGAAAGTATCATTGCCCACCCAGTCAATGGTGGACCGTTGAACGCATATTTCCAAGGGAGACGTGGATCAATATTGATCTTGACTTTCCCCTATCCAAGAAATGTCTTATTCCATGTTTCCCATGATGGGCGATAGGAAACTCCAAGGGGAGAAGGAATACCTCCGTTGGTCCGTATAAAGGTATCGCCTTAAGTGCGACCCTCTGATATTATAACACTACATAAGTGGTTGTATAATATGTCACCATTAGAGTTTTACAACATAACCACATATTTTGTATGAAAAAAATGAGGCTTTAATTTTATTAAAATTGAGGATATAACACAAGTAGTTGTAAACTTTTCACATGGATTAGTTTAATTAGGGTTAGTTTTAATTGACATTTATAACTAATTTCATTTTATGGAATATTCAAGATTAGATCTAACCTTGATTATTTTCAATTTCATGCCTTGTAATGTTTTTCATAATTTCATATGTTTGGTGTTCTTGCTAAAAACATTATAATGATTGACTTTCTTGTTCTGAGTCAAGGAGAGACGAAAATGGATGGTCAGAGTGTCTGTTGCGTATAATTTTGGTCCATTGTCCTCTTATCCTTCCAAACTCCCTCTTATTTTATATGTCTTAACTTCTCCCTTGGTTTTTACTCTTCATATTACTCAAAATATCTCCTTATTAACTTTCGATGTCTCCTAATTTGGAAGTGTAACACCCGCCTTTTCAATAATTGTAACTCTTTAGCCATTATATATCGTTTCGTAACTTTTTCTTGTGACCTTTCACATGGTATCCTAGCCCTGTCGAATTCTTGGGTGCAGTAGAAAGACCTCCGAAACTTGAAGGGGGTAAGCTCCAAATTATTTTCAGCTTGCTAAGCTAAAAGTTCAAGATACATCTCCTCGGTCATTTCGACAGTGCTTAAGCACAAATCTTTCTTGCGTTGGAAATAAGACTTAAGTTTGAATTGGAAACTTTTAAACTATCGAGCTACAAGGTTCACTACAACATTTGTTGTCTCTGGCAACACTTTTTTAGGTAACATGTAAAAATTGTTGCCTAAAATTCGTAAAGGCAACAATTTATGGCCGTTGACAAAAATATATTTGCAACCCTTGATAATCGTTGCCTAAAATATTTTTGGGGACGTTTTTAGAGTGTCCCTCTTTTATTTATTTGGCAACGATTGTTAAATGTGCCTTTAACTACTTTTGGGGACGATTTTGGAGAGTCATTATACTATTTCTTTAGCAATGTTTGATAATTGTCCCCTTAAATACTTTTGGGGACATTTTTAAATTGTTACATTACTTCTAATAAAAGGCTACATTCATTCAATGTTGCATAAAATTTTAGCAACATCAAATTTTTTGTGGCAATCTTCCCTCCAAAATTATCCACTAAAAAAATATTTTCCTCTAAACATTATTAAAAAAAAATAAATATAAAAAATCATCTAACACATAATATAATAATATTGTAGTATATTGTTATATTATGTGTTAGATAATTTTTTATATTTATTATATCATCTAACACATATCTCACATTTAGAGAAAACTATTTTTTAGATAATTTTTTATATTTATAAAAATTTTATTTATTGTTAGGGCTAAATATTTTATAATATTACATACCATAACTATTCATGTGAATAACTTTTATAATAAATTAAATATATTTATAAACTTAAAATTTATTAAATAAAAATAAAAATACTGATTAACTAAAAAAGTTAAATATAATAATATAATAGTATATTATTCTATTATATGTTAGATAATTTTTTATATTTATTATATCATATAACACATATCTCACATTTAGAGAAAAATATTTTTAAATGATTTTTTATATTTAAATTTTTTATTATTATTTAACACATTCCACCATTTATAAGAAAAATTTTATATAAAAAAATCACTAATCTCTATCTCACGTTTTAGAATAAAATATATATAAAAAATAGAAAATAGAAAAAAGAAAAAAAAAACAAGTTCATCCACCCTTTATCATCTCCTCTCTGTTTTTCATCGTTACACCATCATCACCCTAATTTTCTCTCTCCGCCTTCACGCAAACTCCCTTTCGTTTTCCTCCCCTTTGTTTCACCTTCGCCATCATTGAATTCATCCCCATTCTTCTTCTCCCAACAACAAACCCTAACAGCCGCCGTCGTCACCATCCCCACCTCATAACCCTTGCTCCTCACCATCTATCCTCCTCACTGAATCAAAATCCCAATCTCATCGCCGCCAACCTCCGACACTGCGAATACGAAGAAAGGGCCACCCTTAAACGCCTTCTAAACCATCGTGGAGACGTCAACTTATAGTTCTTCAAACTCACGCACAAGTTCCAGCATCTGCGGTGACAACAGTGGAAACGAGCAACCTTGACACAACCCAGCTTTTCATCAATAACACAATTTGATCTTGCGCTTCTCACACCCAACGACTCCAAGTGACGTCGTCAAGCTTATCACGGTCGCGCACTGTTCGTTTTGTTAACAGGATTTTACTCTGCGACTTATAGTTTTTCCAAGATTTGAGGTATATTATGTTAATATTTATTGATTTCTCTACTAATTGTTCCAATTAGTAAAAGTATTCTCTAAAGTACCAACGATTGTGTTGTAACAGTAATTCCATTACTAAGCTATAACTTTGAAGCATTACCTTGAGTCATTGAAGTTTAGTAAGCTAACACCATGATATGACTCGTTATTTTTCAAATTTTCAAAATCAATAGTTGCTGATGATTTCTAGTGGTCTTGTGCAGATTGGATACGACGGTCCCGACAGCATGGGAAGCCTAATCAGGGTAGTTAGTGGTCATGGCGGCATTGATGTCTACTTCTTTAAGAGAGCTGGTGTTGTTATCTTCTACACGTCGACCTCATAAGAGAACTTTCCAATCCCTCA